TCCTCCAGCTCCGTCGATCTTTTTGTCACAAGCAGCTGATTTATGATACTTCTTCCTGATAACTCGTCTCGGCTTTCAAATTTTATGTTCCATCGAATTCCATACCCTGCGATAAGGGTTGGCCCCGAGTAGTCCAGTTTTTTTGCCCAGGTCTCAAACTCAGATTGCTTGGCTGCCGAGGCAGTGATCTTCTGGATCACTGAATCGATCTTTTTCAGGATTGGTCCGACGTGGTTGCCTTGCAACTGTGTAGCACAATCAGTGCTCTCATTTCCGTCTTCGCTCATCTCGGATTCACTGGCGGAGTCGCGATCCTCAGCAGGGCTGTGAGCAGCCTCGTCCAACGAGCTCGATCGATCAGAATCTTCTTCGTTTGCTTCGACGATGCACGCGAGGCCAGGAGTAAAACCAAGAGTCGCTTTTTTTGACTTGGTTAACCCAACGGTGCCGACATCGAGCGCTTTGAGGCCAGCATTTAGTATAAGTGCCACTTTGTGGCAAAAGCAATGGATGTGGTTGTTTGTGAGATCGAGATCGAATCCGGTGTCTTGTTTGATTAAGCGATCCACTTCAACGGTCATGGTGTGATTGTTTGATCCCGAGTCAGTGGTTTGTGCTAAGATGTGTTGAAAAAAAAAAAAAACAGAAGTCAGAAAAATTTGGATCGATAAAAAGAAAATCAGAAGTATAACAGAATTAAACCTATCTTGGTATGAAGCGAGAACTTTTTGAGTATGTTCACAAAGGGGACAGCCAAGAACTTCCCCTTGTGGGTCCACGAGATATATTTGAGACCAAGGTGCAAGATCTTATATTCCCATTTATCGGTAACATAAGCGACCGATATTCCCATAAAAGCCTGTCGGTTCCCTTTGGTTGTCCAAACATCGTGGATGAGACTGATTTTCGAGTCCAGATTCTATTAAATAGGAGTCTAATTATGAGTATGAGTAACAGTGAGATAATGAAATGAGCAGGATGACTTACCTGGAGCATCGAGACAACCTTTTCCTGTAAATTACAGTACAGCGAGTGTGCTTCACTTGCAGCCCAGACACGAGAATTGAGCTTGAGTCCTGGTCGAGCGTAACGGAAGGCAAGACGCAGAAGTTTATCTTCGATTCGGCTCCATGGCAACGAGCTTTGTACAATCCATAGAACGATGAGTTGGTTGAGTATCTTGGGATCAAATTTTCCTGAATGTATGAAGTTTGCGGTGCCAGATTCTTCGGAGCGCTTTTTGGATGCAATCTCTTTTGCAGTTAGTGGTAGTTTAGCTCCTGAGCGGATTGCCTTGGCTCGTTGATTACAGGCAGATCGATTGGCGGCACCATCACGATGTTTAACTAGATTTCCACGGGAGCCATCACCTTTCTTATAGGGAATGCCACACCATTTGCATTTGTAATGCATTGGAGGCCCTTCCTTTGTCTGAAAAAGAAGCAAAACATTGAATCGGTAAGCAAAGATCAAGACAAAAAATATTTCAAAGACAATTAGTACTTACTTCCCCCTCCTCATAGAATGGTTCATGAAAGTAAAGCTCAATTTCATCTAAGCCAAATTCGGAGTCCTTTCGTGCACATTTTTTTCGCTTTTTGGTGACTTTGAAGTTCTCGTTGTCGGAATCCTGTGTCAGATCCATGGCACTTTGAGTCCGGTTGGTGTTGGTTTGTTCGTTGGATTGGTTTTTTTTCTTTTGATGTTGCCGAGGGTTGGCATTGGATCTTGATGGCTTGGGAATCCCGGAGATACTAGATTCAGAGTCAGAGGAACTTCTCGGATCTTGAGATAACGATTTACGGCAGTCACTATTTGTTCGGACATATCTGGCGTTGGTGCGAAGAGGAGTAACTATGCGGGTGGAACGTCGTGATGGGGGAACAGAAGGGGTACGACTGCGAGTCGGACTATGACGAGGAGTGGAATGGGCCATGTTTTGAGATGTGAGCTGGGGATGAGGGATCGGTTTGAGATGTGACCTGGGGATGAGGGATTTGAGTCTTTGAACTTTGATGTTTGTATCATGACATCATCTAGGTAGGCTAACTTCTGCAATACAAATCTTATTGCCCTGAACTGTATCAAAACAAAGATACACGGACCTGGATAGGGTCTCTTAGGCAGTACAATGTATCTGATACATTTTGTACTTCCCTAGATCCCAATCCAATACTGATACAGTTTATCTGGATAAAATTGATACATTACAAGTACACTACAAGTACATGTATTGTACCACTTACAGCGTTGCTGGAACACTATCAGAGCTTCTGTGTCAATCAGACACTTTTGTATTTTGTTACATCAGGATAGGAATCAGACTTTGTACCTAGTCATACATAACAAGTATGACAGTAAGGTGTATTTATGTAGAAGGCTTCAGAGAGCCCCGCAGGGTCTGTCTCACGGAGCGCTTCGCGCGAGGGCCCCTGCCCCGAGCCTAACACAAGTGCGGTCGGCGCAATGCGACAGTGTTTCACCACAGTGCATGCCAACGCCGACCAAGCAGGGAAGCAGGACTTGTGTTAAGTTCGCCCCTGCCCCGCCTCCCAGAAGCTGGGACTGCTAAGTAGTGCTAAGTTCGACTTCAACTTGTGTTTGATTTTCTGAAAAAAGCAGCTGAAAGCAAAAAATACACCTCTCAGGCATTTTCCTATGGATTAGCTTGTACAGGTGCTGAAATCCTTTGACTGGTAAAAACTTGATACTAAGGCAGATTCTCTGTCTCACAGGGAAAATTTCATAAATATCCTCAGCAAGAAAAATAACTCATGGAGCCCCATCAAAGGGCAAGCGCCCAACCTGAAAATTTGCCTGCTCTGGTCTGTAAACCGGCACCTATTCGTTTTCCATCATGGTTCACCAGTTTTATGGAATTCTGATCCAAAATCCAGCTAGATACAAGACTAGCAAGATCCTGCCTTCAGAAAGCGTTGGGTGCAAAAATGACGACAAACCCTCTCGAATTGTTTGATTTCCAAGGAGGAGATATTTGATTTTGTTTTATTTTATCGTTTAACATTATCAACACGAACAAGAATGAATCCACACTATCATCAAAATGTGCACGTATCGCTCTCGAGGTCGGATTGCGACAGAAAAACTCGAAAGGTAAAGCATGTTCAACATGGATCGAAGAAAAAGAAAGAAAACCATGATATTTCTGAATCATAGCCGAAACCGTTCTTCGCCGACCTTCAGTTAGAGACGATCGACCTCCTTGCGTTCTTTTTCGCACCGCCGGTGGAGGGCTTGTTTCTATGCGCCAAGGAAGCTTTGTTGGGGAGGAATTTTTTAATTGATAGCCAATTGCCTTGGTCTTTCCATCCGGTGGGCTAGATAGGGTGGGGCAAGAAAACCGTCAGCTATGATCATAACATCTTGTGTAACTCATTTGCAAGCCACTCACCGAGGAGTCGTCTTGAACTGTGACGACCAGTTCGTATGTCTGTTTATGGGGGTATATTGTCAGTTTTCGTACACGAAAAGAATTCCAGAACGTCGCAAAGACTCACCGCTCCAAAGGCACCAGCCGACCAAATAGCAAAGCCCGAAAATACAGGATATGCCTGGAAGAAACGGAGGGGGTGAGGAACGAGACATGCTACTGGTTTTTGCCTACAACTAGTTTTTTTCAAGGACTCACCTCCACCACTGCTTGTACTAGTTCCGGGAGATATGTCATGCAGCTCTCGGTGCTGCCACCACCCGTTTCTCCAAGTAGGACTTGTCTGCCGTCGGCTTTCAACATCTTTGCAACATTGACCACTTCGTCGGCGTGACTGGCAACGCATTCTGTACTTTTGCCGGAGTTGTCAGTATCAAGGTACTGTGTAACAGGAAAATGTAATAGTTGTAAGTTTCAGAACCTTCCTCGGTCTGAAAAGAAAAAAATGATTGTAACTGTTAATTTGCTGATGGACATCGGAATACTTACTCGGTGCACCTCAAACCAAAGACCCTCAAAAGATCCGTCTGGGTTTTTGACCGTTTTCATCGACTTATACCATTCGGGAAAAGCTTTAAGAGAGCTGTAGTCTGTTCCTGACAAGAGTAATATATTGTCGATTCCATCCTTTCTCAGGGCAGTCACTACCTTCTGCACCGTCACAGCCCATTTATCGATATCTTTTTTGGAGTGAAGGTTGAACAAAATCACTTTTTGCATGAGCTTCGTAGGAGGCAATGGAGGACAGGCGAAGCTTGAGTTTTACCTTGGTCATGAGGTTCGTTGGATAGTCCGAGGAGTACTTTCTTGTTATCTTTGAATAGACCGCCTAGCTGAAGCCATAAATTGACAAGAACAGAAGCGGGCATGTTTGGCGACTCGCCAACAATCTCGCTCTTGTAACGGGCATACTGAAGAAGTGTTCACGATTTGATTAAATTTAGGCCAAGGGAATGAGAACAATACGCCAAAAGAAAACTTACCGCATGAAGGTCAATGATTGCATACGCTCCCTGACTTGTGATCTCTTCAATATATTCACGGTAGACTTTGACGTTAGTAGCATTGAGCTTTGTATTTCTTTCCGGTTGGAGGAATTCCCATGCCACTGGGACCCGCAGCAGATTGACATTCTGCTTGAGGAAATGGGTGATTTGGGTCTTAGGTGGGGCGACACCAGTACTACCAGGTGTGTATTGACCTGAAGTTTGTGCACCGAAGTCCCAACCTGCCAAGTTGACCTTTCAAAATTGCAACTCATTCTCATCAGCAAAACTTCAAAAAGTACGAGAAGAGTACCCCTGGTATTTTGGGAGAAGGAAATCCTTTGACTCACTCTGAAAAAGTGCCATTTGAAAGAGCCATGCAGAAATGTAATGGACGGGAGAAATAATCAACAACTTGGACGGGGCACTGGTCAGGAGGAACAACGGATGACGAACCCAGCTAGGCGAGGAAGGACGGTATTTTCATTCATCCCAGGATTGGAATCAGACTTTGGAGCCGTTGTGGATATGGCAGACATGGCGGAAAGAAGCATGAAAAGGCCTTGCCAGAAGGTATATTGGTTGAACGCCATTGTAAGGGAAGAATGAATTGATGGCTCGTATATTCAGATGGGAAAGGGAAGAAATGGCTGCTGGAGCTGAAACTGATAGTGGAGATGATGAAACGGGCTCTGGCAATTGTGGAGCACCTTTTATCTGCCTGCCAGCCTGCATCCTTCAAGGCGAGTTCCTCAGGTGCACAGTCTGTATCAGTTGTTCAACTCAACATCCTGTCTCCCATCCCCCCTCGGGTCCCGGCAGAAATCCACGATACAGTACGTTAGGGCACATCTATTAGATGTATATTTATGTACCCGTTGAAGATGTTGCCATTCGTGATGCAACCCGTTCTTGTATCAGCTCCTCCGCATCCAGGTCTTTCCAGGTCTTGTTGAAGGTCAATACATCCATAAGTGATTGTTCTGCTTTGAAAATGAAGTAGGCGTGGTTCAATTCATAGGCCACGCGGTCCATGAATGGGTTCGCGACCGGGAAACTTGACACTACATACCAGCGGGCGGCGGGCAGTACTACGGGCGGATCACTCGAAAAGGGGCGGAAAGGGTCCCAAAATGAGCTGTATATATACGCAACCCGCGCCTAGAGCTCAAAGCCCTTTTTACTCATTAATTGTACATGGATACATGACAACTGGTTCCTTGATACATACATTTCGGATAAAGGGCCAAAGGTCCGTATACTAACCTTTGCTGCAACAGTGTAACGATATTCGTTATCTTTGAAGATTCTGTAGTTTAGTTGCGGAATTCGGTTCGATCACGGTAGCGAAATGTAGAAGGATCATGCGCATTTTTCTAGTTGACGTCATTTTGGTTTCGCTATGACGTAGTTCTAGTTTAGCGGTGTTCTTCTGTGCTTCTGATCGTATTTATACTTTGTCTCTCTTTGTTGGTTTTTTGAGTTTCCTTCTTCCTCATCGTGATATTCCTGTTCTTTGTTTTAGCTTTATAAAAATACTCAAATTATATTATTACTATAAATCAAATATAAAGAAACTATTACAAAATCAATCTTATAAGTCTTCATATCGGTTGAACAGAAGACTTCTCTTCATCTATTATCTCTTGGCTTTAGACGAGTTTACCTCTTGGTATAACTTCATAGTCACTAGCGGTTAGAGTTATAGGTAGAGCCTCACAAACAGCCAGGAAAGAGCTTGGTTGTGCGTGAAAAAGTAAACTGGCTCATGGAAAAGGGTTTCAAAGATCTCTTGATCATGGGGAGTGAAAGTCTTTTGATACATCAGAAGACTCTTCAGGCGGAAAACATTTCGTTCATTGCGTTCGATTCAAACTCAACACGAGCCCCTCCTCCCCTCCAATGGAGTCGCGCGCAACCCGAGTTCCAAAAGAAGGGGGGATTTGGGTCCTGCTTGGGAAGACTTCAATAGAAAAATTGGGGGTAGCACAATTGAGGGCAACAGTCTCCAGATGAGTTCAGGGTATGTATTCATTTGACTGGAACAAAAAAAAATCCTTTTGAGAAGCCACAATTTATGATTTAATAAGGGCTACGTCATGACTCCAAAGAATTTCTTTTTGACAATTTTCCTCAATCAAAATGACCATGTACGGTTTGAAAACAGTTTCCGGTTAATAAATCGTAGTTCCCTGGTTCGAGATAGAAGGCAGGAAATCATGCTGATGAACAAGATTGGCTAGGAGGAGTAAACACCTCAATGGAACCAAGTTGGCCGAGCTGTTTTCGGATGCTTGGGATTGAGAATGAAGGTTCTTTAGTTGAATTTGTAATGATTTCCAGATATGGCCTAATTCCTCCGTCACCTTATCATTTACAGCATCCAATAAATCACCCTCTAAAATGACTGGTTGATGGGTTTTGAATTTCTCGACACTAGAATTGGAATTATTCTCCAAAATTCGGTATTTCAAAATTTCAGGTGCCAAGTTTCTACGTGAGCTCCCTAGTCCAGGTTTATTGGTGGATCTATGTGGCCTGATGGCAGTGATGTGTCCGTGTTTTCCCTTCAACTGGAATAATCTGTTTTGAGTGGGGCCCTTGAGATAGGAATGAAACTTTTCGAGTTGGTTTCCAAAGTCTACATATCCTGTCAACTGATGCATTTTCGGCAAGTTGATATGAGCCCGAAATTCGTGACTTGCTTCGTTTGTCGACTCACTATTGCCATAAGATTTAGTTGAGTTTGATTTGTAGAAAATTTGCCCGGAAGTGGCAATCCACCTATGTGATGAGCTATTATAAAGACTTTCAAAATTCCTGCGGGGTATTTTTATGATCTCTAAAAAATTGACCAATGGGGATATATTTTCCAGATTTTGTGACCTGAATCTGAATACTAAGGTTGTTGAAACCAATGATGTTCAAACTGAGAAAGGTCATTGAATCTCTATGTAGTAATTTTTCATCTGAAATGATCATTCAAAAAATTCTGCTATCAAATCTTCATTCCCTTTGAAAACTTGATGGAATCAAATTATCAGCAGTGTTTTTTTTCAGCTGATTGTTTGAAAACCAGCCATCCAGTTAAATATCAAACTCAGAACACAGAATATCATTTTTCTGAGAATTTTGCATCAATTCTTTATATGTAGAACAAGCTGTCCTCAACTTTTTGATGAAGAATTTTGGAGTGAGTATTTGACCTGATTTTTTTGCTTTCTTGATCGGGAATTTATATTTCAATACATGACAGTACAACTTGATCAATTTTCTTTATAGGAACAACGTCATCAATTTCTTCAAAATAATTAAGAAAAATTGCCAAAAGAAAGCCATGTATAATTTCATGTAGAAGCTAAGCTGACAATCAATAAATATCCACCTATCTTACAAAGAAAACAAGTAATGGGAAACTGTTTTTAGAGTATCTGAAAATTGGTTGAAAAGTATTCTCATTTTGATTTCATATTTATGTATTCTGAAGTCCATCGACTGGTGCACCAAGGGCTGGCGGATTTCAGGCTGAGTTGAATATGTGATGCTTGTACCGCGGGAAGATTACCCCCCGGGGGGATGTGGTGGTGGTCAAGAGGAAGACCGCAGTATACACTTTCGGCAGAGGAGTGAACACGAACCATCAACTCATCAAACACGTAAATAGACAGAAGCAGACGATGTCGCAAGTCAAGGAGAGTCTATCGATAGAAGAGACCAACAAGATCAGGATCTCACTCGGACTCAAACCACTACCAACCCCAGCAGACTCAACCAGCACAACCCAGGAACTCGATCCAGACCAACAAGCAGAAGAGAACTATAATAAACATCGTCAGGAAGAGGCCAATGGAGTAGCATCAAAGAAAGTCGCAGAACGAGTCATCAAGGCAAAAGAGAATCGAGAAAGATTAGCAAAACTTAGTGGACGTGGTTTAGGAGAACTTGTTCCATCGAATCTTCAAGCAGGAGAAGACGACGTAGACGATCTCAAGAAGTGGGTCAAAAGACACAAGAAAAAATCAGCAAAGAACGACTCGCAGCTAGCAGCCAAGAAGAAAGAGGCCGAACTGAATGCGGATGAAGTAGAGTATGGCTCGCGAGATCTCGAAGGACTCAAGGTTGGACATGACCTGAAAGATATTGAATCGAATATGAACGAAGAAGAGAAGATGGTCCTAACCCTCAAAGATTCCAAGATCCTAGACGGAGAGGATGACGAACTAGAGAACGTCGAATTAGCCGAACAGAATCGAACCAAGGAGGCTTTCGAACTCAAACGTCAAGGGCGACAGGCCGGGGAATACACCGGCTATGATGACGACGAATTCCTCAATCCCGGTCAATCACAAACCGTACTTGCTAAATATTCCGATACTATCGATGGCAAAGTCGATAAATCTTTTAGACTCGGTCATGATCATTCAGTCGATCAAGATCCTTCAAATCTTCACTCAACAATCGATGCTACTAATCGATCTAAAATCACTAAAAAAGAAACCGCAGATATCCTCAAAAAAGATTTGCTCAGTTTGGACTATTCAAGTAAGGTGACAGCAAAGCTTCAAGCTTTTTTTCCCCTCTTTTTTCTTCTATTTTCTTTATCACATGATTAATCAGGCGATTTGTACTGCTCACTGATTAACATTTGTTTTCTTATTTTACAAAAAAAAACAGAAACAATTGGTAATGATTATTTAGAAGAAGGTGATCCAGGTTTCAAGAAGAAGACAAAGAAAACAAAATCGAAGAAGAGCAAACAACGAGCTCCGACATCGACGGTCCCAGAGGAGGAAGCGGAAGACAGGCCGAAGGATGGGATGGATATAGACCCGCCTAATCCCAGACAACCGACAGTCGAGGCGGATGTGATAGATGATGAAGAGCTACAAGTAGCGATGTCACGGATGCGTAGGGAAGCAGGCAAGCTACGACGGAAGCATCACCAAACCGAACAAAAATCAGCCGACAAGTTAGATCAGGATGAGGATATGATCGAGGCACGATCATCACTACCAGCTGAGAATGAAAAAGAAGAAGAAGAGGAGGAGGTAGAGGATGGCCGACTGGTGATCGATGATGCTTCGGAATTTATTCGGACGATCAGTCTGCAACAAGAACGGTTAGCCGAACTTCGTCGAAAGGAGGAAATCGCACGAAACAAGCCCAAGCCGGTCTCGATCGAGCCCAGTCTTGGGGCGATTGCCGAGAGCGAGACAGATTCGGTGATCGACGAGGAAGCCGAACGACGAGAGATGGAACGATTGATGGCCGGCGATTCAGAGAAGGTTATTAAGCAGGACAAACCAGAGGTTGGGGAAGTGAAAGAAGTCGAAGACGAGTCGACGAGTTATGGAGCGACCGGATCCGAGCAATATGTCTCGGGCGGGATGGCCTCGACCTTATCCTTACTCAAGTCACAAGGCCTGATCAAGCCTATGACTCCAGAAGAGAGAGAAAAAGAACGCCTATACAAGGAGAAGATGGCCTGGTTGATCGAACAACGGAGACGAGAAGCGGCGCGAGAGTTGGAGAAGGAGAAGACCAAGAAGATGGGCGATGCCAAAGACCAAGCCACCCGGGAATACGAAAACAGGATGCGCGAGGCCGCCGCGGCTAAGGACGCCATGGAAGCTTATCGGCATTATAAACCCGACGTCGAGATCAAATATAACGACGAGTTTGGCAGAGAGTTGTCGCGTAAAGAGGCTTGGAAAGCCCTTTCGCATAAGTTTCATGGCAAAGGTAGCGGCAAAGCTAAGACTGAAAAAAGAATCAAAAAAATCGAAGAAGAGAAAAAACTAGTAAGTCATTGCTCATCCATTATCTTTATTCTCTGTTTTCTTTCTCTGTTCATTGGATGACTAACAAGTTTCATTTTTTTTTGGGGTGTTTGGCTTTTTTTTTGTAGGCAGCTATGGCATCAGGAGATACGCCTACGGGAACAAACGAAGCGTTCCGAAAGCGCCAAGAGAAACTAGGGACGGCGACGATGATCTTATCGGTTGGAAACAAAGGCTCGGCGCCGCATCAAGAGGAGTTCCTATCCTCCCTAGCGAAGCCCACAACCGGGACAAGCAATGGGGGCAAAAAGACGAAAGGAGGGGGTCGAGAAGGGAAAGAAGGGATCGGCGCCAATGCGATCAATCGAGCTCACAACAAACACACGATCTCTTCTGGTCCGGATCTTATGAACGGACTGGGCAGTCACATCCATTCGGTCATCGGCTCTTCCTCGTCGTCTCCGATGGACGGCTTCCACACCCCATCTGGATTCATGGCTCCCCGAAAGGCCGGCTTCAAACCCATCTCTGCACCGAACTCTTCCTCGAACCTCAAGCCAAATCCTTCTTCTTTGTTATCCTCTGTGCTTGAGAAATCTTCCGCCATCAATCCTGCAAGTAAATCTAAAATCTCCATCGGGCTTGTCGGCGCTGGTAAACGGAAAGCTGACGACATTCCTGATGGATCTCCTGATAATAAACGTCCTGCTGCTTGATCTCTTCCCTTCTTGCCCTTTCCCCCTCTCAAAAATATACAAACACATATATATATATATATATCCTCCTTTTTCCTTCTCTTTCTTTGTGTACATGAATCAACTTGATCAAGATTATTTTTTTTTGCCTTTTTTCACATCAAAATTCAAATACATTGCAGGAACAAATGATTCCCAGCCACTGGACACAATCATGGTCCCCCTTGAGACTTCCCAATGAATGTGCTCACCGCTGCCTCATCTGACATATATATATATAGGGGCTTTCTCTATGAATGGCAATATTGTAATTTGTTTGATCGGGGGACAATGGGACTGGAGTGGAAGAACACAGCTGATTGTGTTGTACTGTACAGGCGCTTGAACTTAACACTAGTCCCTCTGGTGGGAGACTTGCTGGTGTCTGATCTCTCTCTTCATCAGTAGAAACTGAATCTCTCCTGGCCCCCGTTCAACGATTGCCAACAATTGAATTTTTGCTCGATCATTTATCCCAATCATGAACCTGACCAGAGAGACTCTTTTCCAATAAATTACATAAACCGGGTCGGCTCGTCATCCCGCGTTTTTGCATACATCCGCACTGATTCGAACGGAAACCAAGAGTGTAACCATATCGCTTTATGTAATGAACCCCAACGGAAGTTAGTGTCCAGTCGATTTCATCCCAGACCTGACAACAGCCAAAAAAAGATGTCAAAAAATAATAATTGGCTGGTGAGAGTAATCAGAGAATGAGCGAGATGATGAAAGTGCGTATGCAAATGCGGTAGCTACATATTTACGTGTATAGGGCCTAAGGGTTTTTCCAAGGTCTCTTCCGAGATGGGCATGCGCAATTATCAAGAGGATGTGGTCTGTACATGGTGTCTTTGCTCTTCAAGCGTCATGTGGGGGCATGTCAAGGCAATGGTTAGGAGGGATGGACTATATACAATGGTTGCTTGTGCTACGGCTCATCTGCCACCACCGGTGTAGCGCTTTATGGAATAACCGGAGGCAGAACTAGCGGATGATCGGGAGGAGGAAGAGCGGGAGACGGAAGAACCGGAGGCACTGGCCGTGCTGGGATTGCCGCGGACACCGCATGTGGCACACTTGACCGGTCTGGCGTGGTCGTGTCCGTTGGGGATGTTATGCTTACATCCCTCGGAGTCGCAATCCGTTGACTTGATGAAGTCGCAAATGTGACCGCAGGTGAGTTCGGTCTGGCAGCGTTCGTGGACGGTGGTGCGCTTGTTGCATTTCCAACACATGATGTTGACTAACTCAGGTGCGGCGGCCACTTGAAGCAGGACGCATGCTGCGAGGAAAGTGACAAGGAGCCAACGCATATTGGATGTGTAGTCTGGCGGGGTGAGGGTGAATTTGGGATTGCGGTCGGGCTCGATCTGGCGACAGGTGGCGGGTGGCTCAGTGACGGCGGTGGGTGGCGCTTACAAACAGTTCGACTATTGGTCGATTCTGGCAGACGATGGTGTCAGGCTTATAAAGCTTGGAAACCACAAACTAAGAGCATCTCCTCCATGGGAGGTCAATTGTGTTGCTAAATTTGACAACACAGCCACTGCAGCCCAATTTTTGCAACCACCCTCCCCCCCAAAAAAAAAATCACACCACAAGGTGCTAAACATATCAATGCAGGTATGTGAAAGGGGTTCCTGGAGTACCCAGTACTGACAAATGGTACAGCCATGATTTCAACTCAAATCTTTTGAATTTCAAAGCTAGAATCAGTTTGTAATGAAACTTGGATTAAAACGATCCATCTGAGTCATTTTTGGAAAAGGGAAAAAAGTTTGATGCAATGGAAGCAGCATTGATTATTACTTCAATTAAAGAATCTTCAAACTGTAATCGTCCCACCCCACATCTCACCTGTTTTCATCCCCATTCTAATCATCTTGCTGATCAATGTCCTGTTCATCCTCATCATCTTTGTCATTTTCCTCATCAAAATCTTTGTCCTTGTCCTTGTCATGGTCTTCATACTCCTCACTGCTGTCTGTTGAATTGTGTTGTTACATAGGATCCTTTTCTGTGCTTTCATCATTAACGGTTTTGCTGCTGAGTTTGCATTGCTTGCAGGATGAAGTGGTCTTCTTTGATTTTGAAAGATCTCATTTGAATCAACCAACAGATACTTGGGTGGATGTTCCCTATTGCACATCAGTACTAAGCTCAGATCCCAAAAGGTTTTTTTTTGGGGGGGGGCAGCTGAGCAATGAGCTCAACCCAGTTCTATTTCAATGCCACAGCAATATATTGTGGTCCCTTTCCTGCACAGTGCCCAGCCATTGGCAAAAATGTTGGAGAGTCACACCAAGGGGATTTTTGGACACTTGCAGAAAAACTTGCATCAGGGGGTATCAAATATAGGAAAATAAAATATTTGTTCTGAGTCAACATCAAATGTATCCAAAAACCTGCTCTGGTAGTCAGAAAGGGGCAGTAGGTGTGTCAGAAATTCAAATAAATGATTGGAAATAAAACAGAAATACTTGCCTTTAGCATTATTAGTCTGTGCACAAATGAATTGGTCATTGTCTTCAATGCTGCCCTTTGTCAGACACTGAGACACTAGCCCAGGTGTCTACAAAAGGTAACCCCTTGTATTACATAATAAATATTATTGTATGTAATTTTTAAGTTAATAAGTATACAGTTATGTTATTCTCTTTTATGTGTATTAGTTATGTTAATAAAGGTTTAGTAAATGAATAAAGATTTACCTCTTTATTAACTTACCCTTTTCCTGAAAGTTATATTCAGATTGAAAAGGATAATTATCTCTTATGATTATCAAAGAGATTTATCCTGTGTATCTCTGTTGTAAATACTTATATACCTGTTTATCTCTCTTAGGTGTATCTTCTGAAATAAGAGAGATTTTCCTCACATGTACTTTAATCTTCTTGACATTTCTCCCCAAAGAAATAGCATAACCTTATGGGGACTGTACCGGTCCTACAAGCAGACTGACCTCTGCTCTGTAATACTTAAGGAGGAAGGCTATCCCTTTAGGATTCCTTTCCCCCAGACATTACCATACAAACCCGCTATCCTTACCTATTTACAACTAGTATAATAAGTGAGTGGGGTTTATAATCTAGTAAACTCTACATTACATAATACTCTATTCCTTTTAATTAGTACTAGTCTGTTACGGTTAACCTTTGTAACTAGACTAGTAACTGGTTCTCTCCTCTCATAAGCCTGGCGCAGTGAAGTTGTTCCGCTGTCGTCCCTTATAACAATAAGGAGCAGCCCTTCACATACTCTAGTATATTGAAGAGGTTAATTCCACTACGTTGATTAATCAACAATAGTGTGACCTTTTTCCACTACATGTGTAACACAATAGTGCGACCATATCACAATCA